AAATCCTCCACCATCTCCCACAGAGCTCCAGCAAAATCCTCCACCATCTCTCACAGAGCTCCAGCAAAATCCTCCACCATCTCCCACAGAGCTCCCACCTCAGCCTATTTTCACGGAGCTTCAACCAAAATCCTTACAAACGCTTGAACTCCGAAGTCCTGCACCATCTGAAAATGCAGAGCTTCAACAAGGTCATCCATCATCTCCCATAGAACAAAGTTCCTCATCACCTTCAGCAGAGCTCCAGCACATTCTTGTGCTGTCTCACACTGATTCCACAGAGCTCCCACAGAATGCACCATTTCCTAAAGAACTCCTGTCAAGTCCTGCACAATCTCACACTGAACCCCCACAAAGTCCTCAACCATCTGTCATGGAGCTCCCACAGAGTGCTGTAATTTCCCATCCTGATCCCATGGAGCCCCAACAAAACGTTGTACCTTTGACTGCACCTTCTGTCATAGAACTCGAGCCATCTCCCTCTTGTCACACAGCATCCCATCGTAATCAAGAAGAGCTCCATCCTGATGTGGCAGAGTTTAGAATAAGCTCCTCACCGTCTTGCCCTGATCTTGCAGAGGCCCATGAAAGTTACTCAGCATCCCACTTGGATTCCACAGATGACCAGAAAAGCTGGACCCCGTTACACCTTCAGCAGAGTCCTGCACAGTCTCACTCTAATCTGGCAGAACTTGAGGAAAGTACTGAGCAGAATTCCACAGAGGATCAGTTCATGGACACAGAATCTCAGCAGAGTCCAGTACAGGGTGGTCCCACGGCTTGTACCCTTGCACATTTTCTACACAGCCCTTCACCTCACAGTCCTATCAAATCAGGGCTGACTCCTCCCAGGGTGGAGCTGGGGACAGAGGAGGCTCGGCGCAGCCTTCCACCAGACGGTCCTGCACAGGACAATGCTATGCAGCTCAGTGGATCACATAGTCACAGCCTCACAGCCTCACAGCCTCAGCACAGTGCTCTACAAACGGACTGTAGTCCTGTGCAAGCTGGCATGAGGAACCCCTCACAGGACACTGAATCTACACTGGACCAGGAGAGCCCTGGATTGAGCAGCCCTACTCTGCAGTATGGGGCTGCACAGGACACGTCTACACTGGACCAGGACCTCTCATCGGCAGCAAGATACGCCTCAGCTCCATGTAGCCCATCGTCACCACCACTCAGACCTAAACGGTGCAGTCTGTCCCAACCTGCCAGCCCTGCTCAGGCTCTCCGGTCTTCACAGCTTAGCTTACATACTTTAGAACTTGCTGCACATTCAACACTCACACAGGAGTCCACCCATGCCACACAACCTGACTCCTTGAAACAATGCCCTTCTAGCCCTGATGGCCAAACACTGGAAAATAACCCTCCTCCCCTTAACCCCACCCCTGAAAGTAGCACGCTCAGTCACGATCATTCCAGTCCCCCTCATGTCCTAGATTTCCAGACACCAGAAAGCCTTTTTCACATTAGCACTTCAGCCAAACACAGTAGCCTAGCTTGCTCACCTTGTGCCGGTGAAATGGAGGAAGCTCCTCCCCCAGCTAGCCTAATTCATCAGAATCTTCACAACACCCCATCGCTCTGCATGGAAGTTGTTGAAGGAGCTAGCCCCACACATAACCAGGCCAGCTCAGCTTGTGCCAGCCCCACTCGTGCTTACCAGATGCCTACAAGCCCAACCATGTGTCTTGAAGGCCACCCTAGCCCTGTGCCAGGGGAGAGTAGCCCATCAGCAGCGCTGGCTGAACCCATCCACCTTGCCTCCTGTCAGGATGAGGAGATGGAGGTAGCTACCATCCAGCCAAGTGATGGTGTTCAGTCAGAACCTAGTCCCAGTCAACCAGACAGTCCTCAGCCTGACCCTGCTTACTCAGAAGCCACCGGTGGCATTGTTTTGTCAGGTCATGAGCATGCTCAGGAGACAGAAAGTCCCCCTGGTCAGTCAAGTCGGCCACATATCCAGATTTCCTTCAGTACTTCACACCTGGCTGCAGTACAGCCGTCAAGCCCTCCGCCAGCTTCTGGTAGTTCAAGTCCTCCACACTGTACACTGAGTGATACCGGCCCAGAGAGGAGTCCTGTTCGTGCTGAAACATATCCCTGTTCTGCTAGTGTAGCTGATGTCCACACCAGTCATAGCCCAGTTAGTCCTGCTGGTCAGGCTAGTCCTGCTCATGTAGTAGTAGCTCACTCAGGCCCAGTGCAGACACAAACTTCCTCATTAGCTAGCACAACTCATAGCAGCCCTGCACATGCTGCTTTTGCCGGTGTTAGCCCACCTCACAGTCCGGCTCCTGACACTGAAAGTAGTACTGGCCTTACTGAGGCATCACTGAGCCCCACTAGTCCTGATGTGGACACAGTTGCTCTTTCCAGTGGGGCTCAGCCTGATATGGGTGCTGATAAACCTGCAGACTGTATCAGACAAACAAGTCCTGCTGCCTCTGTACCCGACGACTCTGCTGCTGTTAGCCCCAGCCAGATTAGTCAGAACCAAGTCAGCCAGTCCCCAGCTGGTACTGCAGTGGTCCCCAAAGAAAACCACCAGTGCACTGCCTCACCAAGCCCCCTCATCCCCACTGATGCTACTTACACTCAGGCCAGTCTGAGTCCTGCTAGCCCTGTCCATGCTAGTCCCACTCAGGATAACACTGCGATGCCTAGCTCAACCTCTCCCAATGAGGCACCTCTTAGTCCCACATGCCCCGCCCCCTCACAGATTAGCCCTTCTCAAACAGTCTCTTTTGACACTCTGCAGGTTCAGCGTAGTCCCTTACACAGCCCAGGTCAAAGTTCTACAGGTGTTCATATGGATCCAGGTTTTAAACAGATCACCACAAGTCCAGGCTCCGTGAGTCCTGTGCAGGCAGAGCCTGGTCCCGGTCCCCCGAGTCCTGTGCAGGCAGAGCCTGGTGTCAGACCTGCTTCTGCCAGCCCGTTCCACTGTGAAGCCAGTCCTGCTTGTGATTCAGTTAACCCTGCTCCCTCAATAACCAGCCCAAGTCCTGGTCCTGCTAGTCCCGTGAAGCCAGAGCAAGGTCCTGGACCTGAAGGGATGTCTGATGGCACCATGGGTAAGTATGAGGGCGAGTGACTCAAAGTTCCCGATTAACACACGATCTGTTCTGAGGTTATCTGCTCTTTTTGTTCACCCAGACACACTGAGCACAGAGGAGCAGCAGGAGGAGCAGCCTGAACACACATCACAGGAGAGCCTAGCAGAGGAGCAGCCTGTGGAGAGGAGCGAGGGAGGAGAGGAACAAAACCAGAAGGTTCTGCCCAGTAGCTCCAGCGGTCTTAAAGGTTTGCTTTGCAAACACAGAAACATAACCAATCCAAACTCTTAAATGTTTACATTTTTCCGTGACTTCCCTTTTCCCCAGGCTTGCTCCGCCCACTCCATCGTTGTGACTGTAACCAGGAAGATCCTGAACCTGCATCAGTATCTAATGTGTCCATGTTTGTGTCTCTGCAGGAGTCCAGGAGACTCAGTGCCCCGCCTCCCCCGTACCCACGCAGCAACCTGTGTCCTTCCCTTTGCCCTCATCACCTCCATCTGTGGGAGCTGGCTCCCTGGAGGCCTCCCCCCACCGTCACTCCCAGCCCACCATTGTAGAGGGCCTCCCACAGGAGGAAAAGCTTCCCAGTGACTTTGGACATACGGTGGGGCTGAAGGACCAATCGCCTCTTTGTCACATGACATCAGAGTGTGATGGGGGTCAGTCACAGATCCTATATGAACCTGTTGCTTTGGTAACAGAACCCACCGAAGATGAGCACCAATCACAGGCTGAGCCTTCACAGGAGGAGGATCTTTCTGAAACAGTTCAGCCGTCAGATGGTCAGCCAATCACTGAGGAGCACTCAGACATGGAGGAGGAGCCAGTGAGCCCCGTGCTGGACTTGGACCCCTCTTTAGACAGAGAGGTGATGGAGCTGATGACATCATCGCCTCCCCCGTCCCTTCTGCACCTGTCCTCGCCATCCTCATCGCCACTGCTGCGCAGAGGGAAGGGTCGCGCCCTGAGGCCTCCTCCCTGCTCCCCCCGGCTGTCTGATGACCTCTCCATCCGCCTCAGACAGTCTCCCTTCTCCACTGAGGCCTCCCCAGAGACCTCCCCTGCAAGAGTGCCCATCACGCCGCCGCCGCTCACCCCACCTTTGCCTTCTCTCAGGACTTCCCCCCTAGCTAGAGAGTCTCCACCTCTCTCTAAGGTAAGCGGCAGCCTCCTCCTCTTCTTCGCTCACTCTTGCTCCTCTTCACTTCTCCTTTTGTTCTGTGTGCAACCTCAGGCTCCTCCCACCACCGTGCTCTCCCTCACCCCAAAAATCGGCATGGGGAAGCCTGCCATCTCTAAGAGGAAGTTCTCTCCTGGCAGAGCCCGGGTGAAACAGGTTGGTGACCTTTGACGTGTGTGTGTGTGTGTGTGTGTGTGTGTGTGTGTGTGTGTGTGTGTGTGTGTGTGTGTGTGTCCTTTACATATCGATTGTTAAAAAGAAAAAGCTGGAGGTGAAATTCCACAAACCTCTTGTCTCTAACAAGCTCCTCCTCCTGAGTGACACATTATAGTCAAGTTCTGTAGCCAGTCAGACGACACAGGAGCGCTCTCAACGCTGCTGCTTTTTATTCCTGCCTCCATCAGCTCGCACCTCCACGGGCGTGATGACAAGCAGGTTACCATCAGTGTGCTTCATCTTCATCCTCATCCTCACCTGTCGGCCCGGCAGGGCATGCCTGACACACGCCCTCACACAGACGTGCACACATTCACACACGTGTCATTGATCGCGGCGTGTTTGTTCTGTGCACATCGAGGTTGTTCGATCGGCGCGTTGGCTGCCGTCAATACCCAGTGTGTGTGGTTGCCATGGTAACATTGTGTCGTCATGAGTTCTTTTTTCATTTTGTGGCCGTTACATTTATGTTACTGCATTTTGTCCCCACCTCCCCCTCTCTTCTCCTCCTCCTCCCTCTCATTCAGGGCACGTGTTGGAGTAGTCGCAGGGCGGTCAGCCCCCTCTCGTCCTCCCAGGATTCCACGGGAGAGGGAGGGTGGGACCCTAAGCCCCGCCTGCAGGACTCCCCGCTCTGGAGCATGAGAGTGGTAAAAAAGTGCACCCTAACTGTCACCGGCTGTGACTAACAGCAGCTTACTAACGCTGTCTCTGCTGTGGGTGTGGGAAACGAGCGCACGCTGTGCTGCCTGTGTGCGTGAGAGAGTGTGTGCTTCCACCCTGCTGGGCTGCAAAGGTCTCCAACCAAACGCGCCTGCGGGTCTGATCATTCTGTCATGTTTGTTTTCCGTGACGTCCTCAGGAAGTGAATCCTCAGAAGGACGCGGCTGCAGCTGCTTTTAACGCACGATTGTGTCGCTTTTTCCCACCATTTTAATGTGGCCGTACTGTGCGAGTGGCGGCACCTTTAGCAGCGGGTGTAAATACAAGAGACTAACACAGAGGCTATAATGGCGCCGTGAGGAGTAACGCCAGCGTGACTAGATTGAGTGTGGGGTGTTCGGAGACTAGTGGAGCTGATTCCTGACTCCTTGGAAGTTCTGAAATTGATCTTACCAGTGACATCATGGATTTCCTCCTAATTCTCCTCCTTCCTCCCCCCGCCTGTCTCCTCTCCTCAGGGTCGTGGTTCCGGGTTCCCGGGCAGGAGGAGGTCCAGAGGAGGCGGCATCGGAGGAAGAGGGGGGAGAGGAAGAAGCCGACTGAAGACTCAGGACAGCGTGACTGTGTCACCGGGAGTAAGAGCACACCCGCACACTGATATGTCCATGATAGATGATCACAGATTACTGATTAGCTGTGTGTGTGTGTGTGTGTGTGTGTGTGTGTGTGTGTGTGTGTGTGTGTGTGTGTGCGCGCGCGTCAGGCTGCGTATGTGGAGGCGTTCACAGCAAAGGAGGACGAGGAGAACTCGATGCACAACACCGTGGTGATGTTCTCCACGTCGGACCACTTCACCCTCAGACAGGTGTGCTCACCTGCATGTGACATCACGTGTGTAAGCAGTGATCATGTGACATGCAGCAGTTAACCCGTGTGTGTGTGTGTGTGTGTGTGTGCGTGCGTGCAGGACATGTGTGTGGTGTGTGGCAGTTTCGGGCAGGGCGCTGAAGGTCGGCTGTTGGCGTGCTCTCAGTGTGGACAGTGTTACCATCCTTACTGCGTCAACGTAAAGGTCAGTACTCGCCTACCTGTAATCTGATTACTTCCTGCCCCCGGCTCACTGTTTGAGTGTGCTGTCTGCAGATCACTCGGGTGATTCTGACCAAAGGGTGGCGCTGTTTGGAGTGCACGGTGTGCGAAGCCTGCGGTGAGGCCAGCGACCCTGGGCGACTGTTGCTATGTGATGACTGCGATATCAGTTACCATACCTACTGCCTGGACCCGCCCCTCCTCACGGTGCCTAAAGGAGCCTGGAAGTGCAAATGGTGGGTCTACCTGTCGCTCACCTGTGTGTGCGAGGAGGCGTCTGTCAGATCATCTGATCAGCCCTCCCTCATGACTAAACGTGTCTCCTCATGTGAGTGAGATGACATCACCATAGCAACCAAGAAACACATTGGCTGAGAGCGTTTCCTCATGTTTGATGTCACATGACAGGACACGAGGTTCCACCAACCCTCAGCCAGCCAGAGCTCAGACTCTAATCACATGACACATAACACGAAAAGTAAGAGCTGACGGGTGCTGGTTGCTCTCTCCTCAGGTGTGTGTGGTGTGTGCAGTGTGGCTCCGCCTCCCCAGGGCTGCGCTGCGAGTGGCAGAGTAACTACAGCCTGTGCGGGCCGTGCTGCAGCCTAAGCCACTGTCCCGTCTGCCAGCGAGCGTACCTGCAGGACGACCTCATCCTGCAGTGCCAGCAGTGTGACAGGTAACACCTGCTCAGGTGTGGGGTCTCGGCGGGTTCGTCGGTCAGGCCCGGGGTCACCATCGGCTAATGTGTGTGTGTGTGTGTGTGTGTGTGTGTGTGCGCGCACGCAGGTGGATCCACGCTATGTGTCAGGGTCTGACCACTGAGGAGGACGTGGAGGCTGCTGCTGATGAAGGATTTGACTGTTCGCTGTGCAGGACGCACGGACGCAGCCCCTACGGTGAACATACACACTTGCGCGCGCACACACACGCACACACACTTGTTGTGAAGCTTGAGGCTGACGTGTGTGTCTGTTTCAGGGAGGACGGAGTCGTTGGCGCCCTTCATGGCTCAGATCGTCTCCAGGATCAGGGAACCCGGTCAGTGCCCCACTCTGTGGTAGTCAAGCAACGGCCCGTGGTCCTAATCCAAGCCCCCCCACGCCTCCACTGGAGGCTCAGATTGTCCTCTGATAAGAAACAACCACTGAGGTGGATCCAGGGTCGCGTCTGATGGTCTCCTGTCTGTGCAGATATTCACTCTGTAGACACTAGGGGGCGATCCAAACAGCCTCCCTCGTGGGAGCTTTCTTCTTGTGTCAAACATACGGCTTGGGGGCTAGAAGCGGCCCTCCTAGGGTCGAGTCCGGCCCTGTGGATGGCAGTAAAGCTCACGTATGAACCTTTCATTGATGTTAGTGTCTCAGCTCTGAGGGAACCTGATGTGATGATGTCAGTTTTTGGTTTGTTTCATGTCTCCAAACATCCAAAGCATTGATTTTTCTCCCATCTGAAACAAACTGAAGCAGCTTAAAATGCAGCTCATCACACATGAGTGAAGTGGATCACACTGGGGGTCCTGGGATGGGCAAACAACGTGAGGTCATGAAAGTTTGGTGTTTTCTGATCAAAGCGGTCGGACGGCGGTCGTTTGTGCTCCTGGAGAACGTTTCCGTCTGAGCGCTTTGATCCAAGCAAAGCTGTTTGATGAAGAGAAAATCGTGTCTGTTTGCAGACTCAAAGACGTACACTCAGGACGGGGTCTGCCTGACCGAGTCGGGCCTGTCTCACCTGCAGTCTCTGGTCGAACCTCTGACGTCGCCGCGCAGGTGGCGCAGGTAAGGCCGCCGCCCTCTCGTGCTGCGCTGTCAGGTCGATGTGGGCGGGCGTGACGCTCTGCTTCCTGTCTGCAGGTGTAAACCCAAACTGAAGCTGAGGATCATCAACCAGAACAGCGTGTCCGTCCTGCAGACCCCAGTGGACGCCGAGCTGGACCATGGCAGAGGTCAGTCACCGTTACGCTTGCTCAGGTGTGGAGTTTCTCACCTGAACGTGTGACCTGCATGGCTTCATTCTGCAGGCTGAAGTGTGTTTTAGCCACGAGCAAGTTCGTGTTGTGCTCGAGGTCACGCCGAGTTCGCTGGACTGCTGACCTTTGACCCAGCTGAGCTGCCTTCAGGTTCATGTTTCTTCTCTGACTTTACAGCATCAGATCAAAGGAGGTCATTCAGTCTTTGCAGAGGCTCTTATTTTGAAAGTGATTCTGTCTGACTTCCTGTGCTCATTGTTAATAGACTGTGTTATTGGTTGGGTGGTTTAAAGTCACATGATGCTAAAGCTTCCTGTCAGCAGGTGTACTGACGCTCTTCAGAGTCTGCATATGTAACCAAGGTTACCTTGTTTGTTTAGATTTAGGATTGTGGGCGGAGTCGTCGTGTTCTGTGACCTCGTGAATAAACGTGCTCGCCGTGGTTGTGAATATGACATCGTTTCAGCGTTAGCACCGCCATCATTAAAATGAGATTAAAATGGCGCCGGTGAGGTCGGCTGCCGTGCTGGATGCTCTGCCCCAACTCTCCACTTTTTGCAGTTTTTCGTCACTTTTTGCTATATCTGTGATAATCTTGCATGGGCATCATGCAAAACACACAAATCCGCTACAGTAGAGACACTTTGGTTTCTATTGGTCTGCA